TTTGTAGTTGTAGTTGTCCTGTGTATTTTATCTGCATAGAAACATAATCTGATTTTCTGCTTATCACAGATACACTTTGATCATTGTAGCAGACCTCATAAGCCGAAGTTGTTGCTTCAGTTAAAATGAAAATGTTGGAGTCGAGAAGGGCCCTCTCTGAAAGCCAAACTATGCCACTGTTTAACTGAGGTGAAATATTTCTGTATTAAACATAGGTCTATAAAAACTACGTTTAATGAGAAGTAATTGTGTGCTTCGCTTGCAGTCACCGAAGAGAAAAGTTGTCATTCTTCATCAAGGTTTTAATGTGGTAGAATATCTCATATGGTGAAGTCTGGTGTGTGAGAAGTGTCTACATATATTAGTATGTAGTTTATCTTTATAATATACTAAAATAACCAAGTTTTTAAATTTCTGTTGTTTTTGAGATCTTCTGGGAAAACTCTGCATATTTTAAATTCAAATAGCTCTATTACATCATCGACTTCTGCAGAATCTTCGTTATAAGGGATTCATTTAAATTAGTGTACAGAACCAGTGAAGCATTTATTCCAACTCTAAGAGCTCCCCAGCATACCTGAATGAAATGAACTGCTGCCTTTCAGACCTCTGCTGAACTTGACGACTCATTGAGTAGGTAAATTAGCCGTTTGATTGTTGTTGGAGAAGCAGTTGTATAAACTTTGAGGCCAGTGGCTCTTCAGGTCTAGGGTTGAAGAACTAAGATGGAAGAAAGTAGCCATAAAGCCGTAGGGAAGTCATATTTGAATGTCAAATCACTCTAGCTTAAACATGTATATAAATGTACTTTTTATCAGACTATATTGTCCCAAAATTTAGAAAATTTCTATTAAAGAAAAATCATGTCTTAAAATCTGTGTTTTTTTCCCCCCGTTATCTTAATCAGGCCAGTTAGTTATACATCAGCTTGAACACCTACATTCAGCCAATCATATATCAACGGTCATCTGTCAATCAATTTTTTTCGGTCATAGCATCTTAATTCATTTGTCGCAACTAATATACGCAACGGTTGAAATAAGAATCAATTACTTAACCATTGAGTTTCGTCCCAGTGTTTACAGGGATGGACGTCTGTGGCTTCGGCAGGTGCAGAGCTAACAGAACTGGCAGCGTTGCGAGGCAAGGGCTCAAACATGTACGGCTGTAAGCCTTCTACACCAAACAAAGCTTCTACCGCCCTGGCGTCCTCTTCTACAACCTCGTCCCCACTTTCCTTCTCCAAATAAAAAACATGTATGACGGAGGAGACCCCTCTACAACCTCCAACACAAAACTCTCCTCCTCTTGCATGTTTCTGCTGTCCATAGCATTCCTTGACAGTGTCGTTGCTAAGAGCTACTTGGTCCCAATGTAATTTCCCATTGGGAACCTTCTAGCACTGGTTAGCAAGATGCTTCCGACAAACCGGCAATCACCAAACTTACTTGCGAACCTTTCACCACAACAATCCCGCCCCCTTGATAGTCGACCAATCCCATTCACTTTATTCACTCGTGTAAAGTCGGGCAGCACTCAGAAAAATTCGGAAATGCAACGGTTGGAACAGCCGTTTCCTTGCGACTTCAAAGGTGAACTCTGGGCACCACAACAAAATAGTATTCACTTTATATTCATGACAGTACCATAGTTTTTAACATGATTCTGTTTTATTGGTTCTACTTGAAAATGAGAGGTAATGCTTAGACTTAGACAAACTTTACTGTTGTTTTATATAAAGCTTTTTCAACAGTAAATGAGCGGCTTAGCAGTGAAATGAACATTTCCATTTATAAAGTGCTTAGTGATCAAAATGTAAACAATGTAGCCATGTAGTGCAAGTATGATGTTTACAGTGTGTTGCAGAGTCTCGATTTGTGACTTGATTGGAGTTTCAAAAGGTCAGCAATCTGATGGCAGCGGTGAAAAGAATGTTGTAAAATCTGCTGGTCGTTAATCAAATGCTGCAATGCCTCTTCCCAGAGGGAAGCAGAGAGAACAGTCAATGGTGGGGGTGTGAGGGGTCATTGATGATGTAACAGGCTCAGGACACACAGCTCTGAGATGAAATGTTTTTAATGGAGGGAAGAGGAGCCCCGATGATCCTCTGCTGTTCTCACCACTCTTCTCATGTTCTTCCAGTCTGAGGCGCTGCAGCCTCCACACCACACAGTGAGACAGCTGGTCACAACGCTCTCTATACTGCTGCTGTAGAAGGTTCTGAGGATGGGCGGGGGCAGGTGGGCTCTCCTCATCCTCCGCAGGAAGTACTCCTGCATGTGTGCCCTTTTGACCAGTAAGGTGGTGTTAACAGTCCAGGTGAGGCTGTCTGTAATGTGCACCCCCAGGAATTTGGTGCTGCTGACCACCTCTACAGTAGAGCTGTTGATGAGTGCAGGGTGGTTGCAGGAGTAATGCAGTTTTGGACTGGTCATTTCTTTGATTTCTATAAATAAAACTTGATATTCAAAGACGGAGATGGGCATAACGAGGGAATGGCATTCCTAATATTTACATAACAATGTTGTGTGATTTACATGTGATTAAGTTGTAAAATATTCCAAACAGCTTTTTACTTTAATTCTACATTTCCTGTTAAACAAACAAAAAATCTTTTTAACACATTTGTTTCACTAATTTCACGATTAGATTAGAACCGGATCAGAGACAGTTCACCCCTTAGCTTGTCTGATTTCTCTGGGGGCTGCATGGTGGCACAGTTGGTAGCACTGTTGCCTTGCACCAGGAAGGCCCTAGTTCCAAATCCCATCTTGGGCTCTTCTTGTATGGATTATGCATGTGTCCAACAGGTCTTGGAACTCATATCTGCAGTTTGTCCTTTGTCCTCTGACCTTTTCAGGGTGTACCCTTCCCCAGCGTGCGTCTTCCTTTACTTTAATGCATATGGTATCACGGGGAGATGACCCCCCCTCGCTTGAGGCTGCTATGAATAGGGAGAGAATTTTACATGCTTAGCTCTACTGCCATTTTTCCACTCCACAAGTTTAAACAATCTCCTGCTTATTGGTTGGTTAGAGGTCAGCAGAAAGAGGGGATGTACCACGCTTGAAAAAGCTGCCAGTTGACAATGAACTAAGGAAAACATTTCAATGAATAAAGATATGGACATCTGAGGAGCTCTCACTTGTTAAATACGTATTCCATCCTGTCTTGTATTGTCTGTTTATGAATTATTTGTACACCCAAAACAATCCATTACTTTCCCATAAATTGCAGGTTATAATTTACGCCCTGATCAGATGACCCACTTGGGATGCTTCCCCACTTCCTATTTTCAGTATAAATGCCGTCGTCCACCCTCGCCTCATACAGGGAGGTCCAACTCCATGCCACATCCCACAGCCACATGCTTGGCTTCCACACACAAACGATGGATGGCTTCCTGTTGGTGGCGAGAGGTTGTTTTTATTGTAACTCCATATGGGCAGACGAGACTAATTCCACTACTGTCTGGCCTTCAGTTTTTGAGGCTGTGTCTGAATGAACACGCATGTTTCTTTAAACGTTTGGCTCTCAGCCTCTGGAGCTTCAGTGGTATTTGGGTCAGATTGTCTTTTCATAGTCTCTGAATTAAAAGTTTGATTTGTAACACAATGTATGGAAAGCAGATGATATTTTTTATTTACTTTTTTAGAAGATTTTTATTTAGTCTTTTCTCTTTATTTATTTTACCAACAACTTTGTAGTTCTTGGTTTTTTTATTGCAAGTATTGACTATTAACCTATATAACTACTACTTTACTAGTCTGGCCTTTATATGAGAATGGCAAGAAGAAAGCTCTTGTTGAAAGAGAGCTGTAAATATTCTCATTTGACTTTAACAACAACGATGCAGAAGACTCTGCAAAGAAGAAAGCACATTTTTCTAGCTCTATGTCAAATAATAGCTGCTCATTACCCTAAGTACTCCATAATGGTGGCAGCATCATGGTCTGGGGGTGCTTTTCTTCAAATATAGGATAGCTGGTGAGAGTGGAAGGGAAGAACGATTAAGCTAAATTTAGGTAATTTGTGTCTAAATGGCTAAAAGTTGTTCATCTTTGTCACATTGCAAAAACTTTCTAGAAATAAGTCAACACTTCTTAAATTAAGTGTATTTACCCTTTTTTTGAGGTAAATAAGATGTTTTGACCATGTCATGATTATTTTTCCTCTTTAAAT